AAGGATGTAATAAATATATATTTTTAATTAATTTATATAAAAAATTATATCTTATTAACAAGTAAATAATTTAATTAATTAATTTAAATTTAACACTTATCATTTTCATATAAATTAATTTTTAAAAAATTTATTAATTATACTCCTTAACTTATACACGTGTTAAAAGCAACTCAACATTGTATAGTATCTACCGGTAACATTTTAAGTATGGCAATCGTAACTAATAACCCCCGCACTTGTTTACCTTCCCAAAAAACCACAGTCCACTCCTTGACTTTAAATTGAAAACTTTGACTCTGAGGCACTATATAGTTTCCCAGCCTTTCCAGTTTCCATGCAGCCAAACAGTCCTGTTTTCTGATACCTTCCTCCATTCCACGGACAAGCATCCCTTTTCTTTAATCTACAGGAAAATATTCCTCGAATATAAAAACAATGCGCAAGCAAATCGATCGTGTGAAGTAGAAAACGGCGATGGCTTTAGGGAAAGGAAACGAATCCACGGACGAAATCACCGGGGTTCTGAGAAGGTTTGGCGACGAGCAGAGCACGCTGTTGGACCGCTTCGAAAGGCTTTCCTTCGAGGCCCATTTGAACCGAGCCATGCTGGCTAGGAGCTTCTCGGAGCCTCGCGTCGCAAGGTCCCTGTTGGCGGCGGAACCACCGGTGCTGCCGCACGTGAGTCAGGGTCGTCGTGGTTCTGGGTTCAATCGGATGTTGAAGAAGTTGTTCCGACCCTTTTTTGGTCGCAAGGGTAAAAAAGGCGGAAGAAAACAAGCAGCTCTTGATCCCCAGAATCCCAAGAATTGGAAGGTTTTCAGTAGATCCATGCGTTTCTGAGGAACAGAATGAATGAGTCTCCTAAATTCAACTTCCATGCATATCAGTATATCATATAGATTTTTCTTTCTTTCTTGGTACTATTTTATTAAATTAACTATGGTGCAATATTTTTCAGAAATTTCATGAATATAATAATTTTGCTTCCTCTCAAAATTTTAAAATCCCAAGCAGAGCATCTTAATATCTCATGTTGAAATAATATAGAAACAGAAACAAAAAAAAGAAAAAAAGAAAAAAAGAAGAAGCTATTTTTGTAATAAGACTGTCTCGGACTTTAAAACAGGTACCTTAGATTGGAAGAGTCTCTCTAATATTAAACCCTCCTCCACTTGCCAGGGTCCATGTTTTGTAGGTGACCATATATGACATACATTCCATTGCAGGATTGAGATCCACCCCTAATGAATTTGGATGCAATTCTGACTTCGGAAGACTGTTTCTAATTGCACGTAGCTATGTTAGCCTCGTGGTTTCTGGGTTCTAACCATTGAAAACAAAGGGTCCGTGGCTACAAGAATCTTCAAATGAATACACAATTTTGACCATTACGAAATCATTAACAAAATAAGAACATCTTTTGAAGACTTTGTTGATGGTAAGAGTTCTCCAAGCAAACACTCAAGCGCGGCTCATATATTGCCCGGTTCTTGAGTCCACCAAAATCTCGTCACCTACATTAACAAAAAGTGGAACACTGACAACTGCGCCAGTGTCAACAGTTGCTGGTTTGGATCCACCACCTGCAACAGCATTATGTTTCTCAAGATTGTGAGGTGAATGGATATTTAAGCAGAAGTTAAAATAAGGGAATGAAAATCCGCAGAAGAGCTAAGCATTATCAATATCATGTCATCAGCCACAATTAGTGAACCCAATAAAAGAGGATCCCTAATATTTTCTTATAATTGTAATCCATGAAACTGCAGCAGTTGAGTTATTACTAAACATTCTAATTTGTGACCTTTGGAGAATGTTAAAGCCGGTTATGCAAAAAAATTATGCACATTGTTTCAAAATTTGGTCATGAGGCTGATTAATGAGATTCTAATTCTACTCCAACCCTAGGTTTACATCATAATCAGCTGGATTCAACAAACAAAACTCTGAATTCTGTGCACATGGTCCTCTTTGTCTACAAAACTTGTTGATCAATGTATATTAAATATGATGGCCAGAAAAAAAATGGTATATTAAACATAGGGATTGCAGAAAATCAGGACGTCCTGGCAATTAAAATGCCAGGACATCCTGATTTTTACTTTTCTCTTAACATAAGTGATGTATAATCTAGAGGGGTTGAATTAGATTTACCTGAAGCAGTGTCACCTTTTACGCCTGGATCAACATCAACCACTGTAAGCTGAACTGTGATGGGAAGTTCTAAATCAATAATCTGCAAATGACCAACAATCAGACAGTTAAATAGGTAAAATAGCACTGCTACAATACATAACCATGGAATTATGGTCATAAAAAAATCAATACTTGCCCTTCGTTAGAAGGTTGAAGCCATAACCTGTATATACAATTATACATGGACACAGGCAAATGAAACTAACGTTTCCCATAAATGTATCTAGGAAAATGTTGATAATTACAAAGAACACTTCTTTGTTATTAATAGAGGGAACCATGGTTCCATTAGTTACAGCCTATGACAAAGATAAGAGATCCATTAAGAACAACATGATCATGCAAGTCAGCTCTACCTTCATTGGTGTTATAGAGAATCCTCTTGTATACAGTTCTTAAAAAGAGCAAGCATTGATTCGTGTACACTTGGAAGTTCAAATCTGATAAGAATGCCCAAAAAATCGAAAGAACTAAGAAAGTACCTTTCCTTTCCAAGATAGCAAATTGCAGTCCATCCCCTCTTTCAGCCACTTTGTCTTGTCCCCAACATCTGATTCATTAAGACGAGTTTCTTCAAATGTACTCTGCCAGAAGTTAAAACATTACAAGACTGAAATAGAAACATGAAATAAAAGTGAAAAAGCAAGCCTTTCAAGCTTTCAACACAATGAGAGAACCAAAAACAATAGGTGACCCAACACGAATTATGATTGTTTTGCACATGTATATAAAACTGGAAAAATACCAGGTCCATGAAGACAAACTGAGAACCATCTTTGTATGTAAACTGCTTAGATTCCTTAAAAACATCTGCCTCATCAATCTACAAACAAGCACATATGGAGTAAGAAAAATATAGCATCAGGCACAATATCTTTCTCAGTTCCTTAATCTAAACACAAAATAAAGTAAGCAAACGAAATGACACCACACTAAGACATAATTTTCGCCAGGAAACTTTCACTTCCATACATCATGGTACCCTCAACAACATCATACAATAGAAATTACCGTACTTCCAGCTCGAAAGGTTTTCTCAACTGTGTTCCCTGTTATGTAATTGCGAAGTTTTGTCCTCACAAATGCCGCCCCCTTTCCTGGTTTCACGTGAAGAAACTCTACAATGGGGCAACCAGAGAAGCAGTAAGATACAAGTCCAAATTATAAATTTAACAACTTAACACTGAAACTATATATAAAAAGAGTCCACTGTTTTGCAGAACTGCAAAACGGGGACCGTTGGATGGGAAGGGCATGCTCCCCATCCAACAGTCTATGTTTTGCAGCTTGCTACAATCTGGACTGCAAAGTACATTTTTGATATAAAAAATTGAAATAATTAAAGAAACGCACCTAAAACTCGCCAAGGAGCTCCATCGACCTCAATGTTGGTACCCACCTTGATATCGTTACTGGACAGAGCGCAAATCCCTGAAAAAGGAAAGTTTTTTTTTTTTTTTCCAATTTAAGGAAAAATCTGGATTAATACCCTGGAAATATGCTAGGAAAAGGAAAGTTAGTCGGAGGTGGAGAGAAACGAAGGAATTACTGTAAATTCTGGGGCGAGAAGGTGTTTTAGGAAGAAAACGCATTGGGAGGACGGACGGGCGTGATGGGAGTTTCAGCAACGATGAAGTACGCCTGAAGATAGAAGAGGACGGTGACACATTGAAGGTTGTTGTTCCCACCATTTTGCTGTTTGTGTTTGGGAACGGAGAAAGTGAGAGGAAAATAGATGGGTTTGTGAAACTGAAAAATCCTTCGTGCTTTCGTGGTCGCCAATTTCTATTTTACTCCAGCGACCTGTACACAGCAGTTCTTCGAGATAAGGAGGAGGAAGGAGCACACTGAAAAATGGGCTAGGCCGGAGTAACCAACCTTTTTTGTTCATTCAGTTAAAGGAATTTGGGCTCAAAGCCTCAAACCCATTGTCAATATTTTTTTTTTTTTTTTTTTCTAGAAATTTTACTCTCTATCAAAACTCAAAAGAAACTTATGCAAAATGGGAAAATACCAAGGATAGGAACTTGTTCACAAATCACGATATTTTTTGAGTTGATTTATTCTAGATATGGTACTTCATGTTGTTGAATTTCCCCTTGAAATTTAAACCATTATTATTGTATATTTTGATAGCAAGCAAGTGTGGTAATATGTACTAAATTACATACCAGCTTTTAGTCAAAAGCAACTCATTTTACGTTAGAATTATAGAATTAATAAAAAAGTTTTGTTACGTATCAATTTATTGTGGATGTTTTATCGTTTTCATCCTCTTACTTTGATACCTTCCATGGTATTCACACACCAAAAAATGATATAACTTCTACTACATTTACGTAATTACAATGGTGATTAATACTCATATAATGTCATGCATTTAGATAGTGATAATGAGATTTCTTATGACCTCTCCATTAGTAAGAGATTAATTTTTATAACCTCTCATTTAATGGGTGTTTATTCTTTATAACTCTTATCCCCTATTGACTCTTATAAGGTTTGTACTCGTACAAATATATGGAAATTTATGGAGAACAAAGGAACATAAATATAATATAGGTTTGCATTGTCTTATTTGTCTTTTTAATTTTTTTCCTTCTTCCAATTGATTCTTTATTTATTTTATAGCAGTTATCTTTTCATTAGTCTTTTTAAAGAATTAAATAGTTGATAATAAAGGACAAACCTAGCTACATTTTTCCTTTTTCTGAGTTCTGAGGCAAACCTAACAACTTGCTAACTTATCTATCACTTTTTAGAACCTAAATTTGAAATAGAATACACAGGGGACAAACCTAGTGACATTTCCCATTGTCCTATGTAGGGAAACCTAGCAACTTACTAATTTATCTACCACTTTTTAGAGCCTAAATTTGAAGACCAGATTTGATAAATGAATAAAAAATATACATATCTGTTGGAATAGGCCAAACATTCAACTTGTGCTATACATAATAGGCATAGACTGCCCGCCTATTAGCCCAAAGTGAGGGAGCACCAGTACAACAAGTACAAGCATACCCACATGGGCAGTGCTACGTGGGCCAATGGGATGCTTAGATGTACAGACGCATATCAGCATTTGAGGCTATAAATATCCCTTAACTACCTCCGATGAAGGTAATTAACTTCTATGCTTCTCTCTCTGCAATTACTCTTTGAGAGTATCTCTCTCTAGAATATTGAGTATTGCTGACTTGAGTATCGAAGTGTTTTTCCCGAAGAAACATCCTCGGGAATTTCAGATGTGGAAGCAGCTGAAGATATTAACAGTGTTGGATCACGAAACTGCCCAAGCAATATCTGTACAAATTTTCTTGTTTTCTAAGTAGTCTACTCCAACATTTTTTTATTCCGTTTGAATTCTTTACTCCCCATTAATTTCAGAAAGTTGTGCTCGTCAAGTTTGTAAAGGTGGTCTTGTTTGATCTATGTAAATGAGGTGATTATAGTATCTATAAATTTAATTAGGTTCATTAAAAAACATAAACTTATTTAGATTAAAAAAAATTTCAGATACTTATATTTTAGAAGAAGACAGAGAAGACTTGTAAATCTTAAAAAATAAAAGGTTATAAAAAATAACAAACTTATAGCGTATACGAGATTTAATCCGTTGATAATTTGTATAATTTGCTATAATTTAAATTATATTTAAAATAAATTATTTTATTACTTTTTATTAATACATTTAAATGGATTATACAAAAAATAACTTTTTTTAATATTAATTATACAATAAAAAATAATCATCTCTCATCTTTTATTTCAGCTTACTTATATGTCATGTAACTCGAATTCAAAATTTTTTACTTTTAACAAAATAAAATAACTACTAAATTATTTAGATCATTAATAATTTTTTTAAAAAAATATTTTTTCACTCTATTCAAGATTTCAACTTAAAATTTTTAACTTAAAATTTTTAACTTTTAATTATTAATTGTCCAGTGATATTCTACTAACATTATAGAAGAAGATAGAGAAGACTCATAGAGCAAGGAGACTGTTTTCTTTGCCGACTAGCTCAACATTCCCTTTGCTTTGCCCTTGTTAGTAGGCACAAATAGCCAGACAACAAAACAAATATCTCAACAACTCCACACATGTCGCAACTCTCCGCCGAACAGAACCGTTGAGTAAAAATTTCCCACATTCGCTATCACCATACGACCCCTCCGGAATTCGTCAGCGCGTGAGTTAGACTTTCCTTTTCAAGGCGGTAGGTACACCGTATTCTGTGTCACCTACTATCACCACCTCATCATTCCAACGTCATAAAATAAATCAAAAATAAAATCAAGGTAATCAACGGTATAATGATACGACTGTCAGTTGACACCTGTACCCACAGAAAACACCAACTGTTTCATTAGTATTCCCGTAATAAAAGGTTCCTTAAAGGTTATTATAGGAAATTCAGCATGTCCGAAACTGCATGCGTGGATGAAAAGCGCTTCCTAGTGGCGCACTTTACGGAGTTGTCCGAACACCGTATTTTAAAATTAGATTTGCCCGACTTATATCTTTAAAATATAAATTAAAATATAATAAATATATTTTTAATAATTAATTTATATAAAAAATAATAAAAATAATTTTTATTTTAATATTATTATAATATAAATAATTTAAATTAATTATTATTATATATTATTAATTATAAAAAAATATATTTATTACATTATACAAAATTTCTTTAAAATTTTAAAGGCGTTACTTATCGGGAACAATTTGCTTCTATTGCTGGCCAAATTTGACGCGTGAAACAACTCGCTGTATCTAAAGTGCCGGACGTGGGTCCGATACCGATCGAATGCTTGGAATTCACGAGTACATGTGGTTATAGCACACGAGTGAGTATTGCGGGTATTTTGGCTTTTATTTTTGTATCATGGCACACGAGGACCTCATGTTTTGTGGGATATTGTAGATTGCATCATGTTCTCCACAAGGACAATGGCTGCGTCGATGAAATGAGTTCATTGGCTTCGCACTTATCGCTTTGGACAGATAGGATACATATTCTTTTTTGACAATCCTTCACCAGAAGTAAGTCCTGTTGTGGTGATGAGAGATATTTTCGGTGTGGCTAGCTAGGCCTCCAGGCCACCTCCCAAGTCCCAATTATTCTGTTCTTAATTAAGCACATGCAACTAATTATGCATAGTTAAAAATTGCTTGTGTATTAAAGTAAGTTTATTTTGAATTAATACATATAATA